GGGAAGGAATCAACAACCTTCTTGTTCTCCTGATTGGAGGAATTCCCATAGCTATGCCAACTGTGTTATCTGTAACACTTGCCATTGGATCTCACCGCCTTTCTCAACAGGTGTGCAACTTTTTAGCTGTTAGCTTAAAGAAATATAGAATCTGTATCAAATTCCATCCCCTTGGATTCAAACGAGCGGCATGGAGTTGATTTAAGCTTTTGCCTGCATTATTGATTGCTGTAATACTTTTAAGGATAATCATTTGGAGATTAGTTATCACAAACGCATTACCGCAGATGTTTCCTCACCTGACTGTGCTTTCTTGTTATTGACTTCATTCTTAAGGGAGCTATCACAAAAAGAATGACAGCAATTGAAGAAATGGCAGGCATGGATGTTCTATGCAGTGACAAAACGGGCACTCTTACGCTGAATCGGCTGTCTGTTGATCGAAATCTTATCGAGGTAGGTACTTGAAAACAACACTATCCATATTGTTAATGAAACAGTACTTCTGAGAGGTGTTGTGGTTCTTAGAGTTTCACACCTGAAGAATTTACTTGTGAAACAGGTCTTCAACAGCAACATGGACAAAGATATGATTGTTCTACTAGCAGCTAGGGCAGCAAGATTGGAAAATCAGGATGCCATTGATGCTGCCATCGTTAATATGCTAGCTGATCCAAAGGAGGTAGAGTGTAAAGAAACATGGGCTACAAAAGTTTTCCCGAAATGGCATACTAACGAAAGAAAAATGTTTTCCCCCTTTTCTCTGCAGGCGCGTGCAAACATCACTGAAGTTCATTTTCTACCATTCAATCCTGTAGACAAGCGTACCGCAATAACATACATAGATTCTGATGGTAGGTTTTACAGGGCCAGCAAAGGAGCACCAGAACAGGTATCAAATTCATCAAAGATGTTGAATACATCTAGAAAGTTTTTTATTACCTAACTTTTTCTCATTTTACTTAAAATATAAAGCAACATTTATCTCAAAAGAGAAAGTTTCTGTAGAATAAAGAAATTTGAAATTTTTAATCGAATATAAAATTTTTTGTTTGTATCAGAATTTCACATTCTCCTTTATATTGTTCCTGAATATCAGATTCTAAACATGTGCCGAGAGAAAGACATGATCGCCGGAAAAGTGCACGCAATCATAGACAAATTTGCTGAAAGGGGATTGCGGTCTCTTGCAGTTGCTTTTCAGGTATCCAGCTGAAAAGATAATCTATCAAAGAAAAAGATATCAATTCATTTGTTAATTTTTAATGTGACCACTTCAAACTTTGCAAGAAAGAACAGTTTAAATAACTTTCTTTAATTCATTAACTTTGGGGACCGTTGGTTTATGACATTAAACATTGATTATTAATTTTTCTTACAAGATAAGTTATAACTCTTTCAGGAAGTACCTGAAAAATCTAAGGATAGCCCTGGAAGTCCATGGACTTTTTGTGGCTTATTGCCTTTGTTTGATCCACCAAGACATGATAGTGCTGAGACCATCCGAAGAGCACTTAACCTTGGAGTTTGTGTTAAGATGATTACAGGTAATAATGAAATTCCAATGATATGACAAAAGACTATAGAAATGTTGGAACCTTGATGAGCCGGTTTACATGTCAATGCAGGGGATCAGTTGGCTATTGCGAAGGAGACTGGAAGAAGACTTGGCATGGGCACAAATATGTACCCTTCTTCATCTTTGTTGGGTCGCAACAAAGATGAGAATGAAGCTCTCCCAGTAGACGAGCTGATTGAAAAGGCTGATGGCTTTGCTGGTGTATTCCCTGGTATTTTAAATCGATATTTCAGAAATTGTGTTGTTTCTCTCAAATCATATATTGTACTGTATACTTTCCTATCATTTCCATTATGTCGGAATTATAAATAACTACAAACGTAAAGTAAACAAATAAACACAAGTACCTCACTTTGCCAGCAAACAAATAAAGAGAATCAAAATTATGCAATTGATCTTTGTCTGTTCCACCTTTCGGCTTCCGTCAACCTATAAATATGATCTTGCGGATGTGGTTACCTATCATATTTATAAATGCTTCTATTTCACCATATCTGTTCAATGATTTGTTTTATCAATGAATACTTTCAGAACACAAATATGAAATAGTTAAAATTTTACAAGACAAACAACATGTTGTCGGAATGACTGGGGATGGAGTCAATGATGCCCCAGCATTGAAGAAAGCAGACATTGGAATAGCTGTGTCAGATGCTACAGATGCCGCAAGAAGTGCTGCTGATATAGTCTTAACTGAACCTGGCTTAAGTGTTATTGTTAGTGCTGTGTTAACTAGCCGAGCTATATTTCAAAGGATGAAAAATTATACAGTTGAGTATGCGAAATTCCTCTTCTCCTTTATATATATTATCATAGAAGAAATATATATATTTCTACTTTTATATGTTATTATACAGAATCATCATGATTTTTATTATTTATTTGAAGTAAATTTTATAATTGTCGTGATTGCAGATTTATGCAGTCTCCATCACCATTAGGATAGTGGTAAGATAAGTTCCAATATTTTATTTCAATGTTATTTTTCATGCTTTGTTTTACATAAACTTGGACTTGAATATAAGTCCCTTTGTCAAACTATGCCCTCTTGCAGCTTGGATTTGTGCTCCTAGCATTGATTTGGGAGTATGACTTTCCACCTTTCATGGTCCTGATCATTGCAATCCTAAATGATGGTAACTGAAAATTTATACTCAACAGTCTTGTGTGACTTTATGACAAAATATAAAAGTGAAGGTTATATGCATTTTAAGTTATGCAGAAAATCAAAACACACTATTTTCCCTACATATAAGTTACAAAGGAATATCAGAACTGTTTACAGACTAGAAGATATAAACAATGGTTACGCAATACATTAGTGATATACTGATACGTAACCATTTTTAATTAGGTACTATCATGACCATAGCTAAAGACAGAGTAAGGCCATCCCCAACACCTGACAGTTGGAAGCTTCCTGAGATATTTGCAACAGGAGTAGTGATTGGCACTTACCTTGCTTTGATTACTGTCTTGTTCTACTGGGCAGTAGTTGAGACCACTTTCTTTGAGGTACAAAATTACAAGTTTCTCCATTTCTTTTCAATCCTCGCATGAAAAATTGATTTCCTTCAACCAAAGTTTATAAGCTAAATAATATGTTGTTGCAGACCCACTTCCATGTAGCATCCTTATCCAGTGACAGTGAGAAAATTTCTTCAGCTGTATATCTGCAAGTTAGCATCATTAGCCAGGCTCTAATTTTTGTTACTCGTAGCCGTGGTTGGTCGTTTCTAGAGAGACCTGGAGCTTTACTGATGTGTGCCTTTGTAATAGCTCAGCTGGTAAAGTTTTTAAATATTTGTAGCTCCTGCAAAGTGCTTTAACGAATCCGATTAAGAAATTTAAATTTTTTTATTGTCACTGAATAATGGGTTAGTTTTTATGGATTATGATCAGGTGGCCACCTTAATTGCAGTCTATGCTACTATCAGTTTTGCTGAAATTCGAGGGATTGGATGGGGATGGGCTGGTGTTATATGGCTATACAGTTTAATCTTCTATGTACCCTTGGACATCATTAAGTTCACAGTGCGCTATGCCTTGAGTGGAGAAGCCTGGAATCTCCTATTTGACAGAAAGGTTAATAAATAATTCTTCCATTTTGTCCCAATATGATAAGACTTTGCTAATTGTGTAATGTTTACTGATTTGTGTATTTCAACAGACTGCTTTTACATCTAAGAAAGACTATGGGACGGAAGATAGCGCAGCGAAGTGGGTTCTTTCTCAGGGAAGTCTGCAAGGACTGAATCAGACGACCTCAGGCTTGGAAGTCAGAGGAAGGCGGTCTTCTATGATAGCTGAGCAGGCCAGAAGACGTGCCGAAATAGCCAGGTACGCTTAATTTTGGCTCGTTATGTTCACTTCTATTATCTTAACTGTTTTGCTTCAATGATCTCTAATATTTGGCTCACATCTACTACTTGGCAAGCCCTTCTCCATAACAACCTTGATCGCCCCCACCTAAACAAACTTGTGTCTTTATTGACTAAAATTAAAAGAGGTATTACTAAAGGAAGCAGTTTTCTAATTTAAACTCCAAAATTCATTTGCAGGCTGGGGGAGTTGCACACCCTCAGAGGACATGTAGAATCTGTTTTGAGACTCAAAAATTTAGACCTGAAGATGATCCAATCAGCTCATACAGTTTGATGTCACCTGCATAAACTCTACATGGACCTATTTAAGTGAAATTATGATTCAAATAATTGGTAGTTATGTTCATTTTTATATGATGCCAAAGATAGAGACTTCGCCATACAGAGATGTTGAATTAGGTTTTGGACCATCGCTAGTAGTAAATTTTATTCTTTCTCATGACGTTTCACGTTCATTGGACACTACTATTTTCATTTTGGTAAGAGGAATACTGATAGAGATTCAGATCCAGAAATCCATTATGTTGAAAGAATTGTGTTATGGAACAATAAAGCCCCTATGAGACTGAGAGAGCGCGCAGGAGGACAGTTGAATTGTCACTCTGTATTTACTATTTGATACTTTAATAATGTCATTTAGAAAAGCTTGGACGACAATTCAAAACCTGATACCTGAATCACATACATTTGTTACCAGTTCTATTTTAATTATATTTTAGAATTTAGACAGTTGATTGTTTACCATGATAATTTTTCTCATAACTGTTACTTTCTTTGTTCACATGAAAATACACAGTTATACTTATATCATGATTGATTTAACAAAATCTTGTAATGGATACATATATTTCAAGTATTTACCTGGTGGTAATTATAACATACTCATTATCACCAACATAAGAAAATGCATAACAGGGATAACAATATCTTGCAAAAGAAAAGAACCACAGTCATGTATGCATTTTAGACACCTGACAAATCCGAGCAACTTCTGGATACAGAGAACAAGGCAGCCACATAGTTCATAAGAGACCTTCTTAAATAGAAGACATATGAGGGGAGCTTTTCTTTCCAAGTCTGATAGAGTTGACATAATCTGTGGTACAATGAGCCGAAAAACCAGGAAGTGCCAGTCCTATTATCCTTACCAGCATGCGAAACCACCCTTCCTTATACTCTGCTCCTTCAGCGTAACCCATTGTCAAGCCTCGTATTAACTCCCAAACAGCATTCAAATATTGTGATAATATGAACCTCATTCCGAAGAAATTTCTATTTGGCGCCTCCTTCACATCCTTTGATGATGACAAAATATCAAAACAATAAAAGTCAATGTATTGAAGAATGAGTTAACGAATCTGAAAACATGACATGACAAATACTAATTTCTTTATAACAGAAAATTATTTAGTCCTCCAATAAAATGTTTGGTATCAAATGAATGTGTGTGCAAATACAGCAGATAATTTGTTTCAGTAAAATAATTTCTACTTTGAGTTTATTAAATAATACACTAATAGTGTGAGTATATACTGCATAAATATCATCTTGTTATCCAAGTTTTTAAAAAAATATATATGATGTGATAAATTGATGAGTCTCTCTGCTAACATACAAGGCATTTCAAAGTGAGGAATAGCAAATGGCAGAATCAACAAATAAAATTCTTGTCAAAAATATAAGAGAAAGATAAAAATACCTACTTTTTCAACGTAGTGGCTGTTGTAGTAAAGACACTCTCCGAAATGTTTGTACAAGAAGGTCTTGTCATCGTAAGGCAACCTGGGGACAATATCATTGCAGTAAACCACCCTGAAGTACTTTGGAACAGGGCGATCCAAATGAGGTTCCATGAATCTCCCGAGCTGCCTATTCCCAATCCTAGGTTGGCCAAATGTGTATACACCAAGCAACCTTTCCATAATCTCCATCTCTTTATGCACCACAAGCACCGTTGGAAACAATATAGCCAAGGCTCCTCCCAAGCTATGCCCGGTAACAATGAATTTCGCATCCTTGTGCTCCTCTAATAAGCTTCTGAGTTTACTTCTCACAACATCATATGCAGTTTGCTTCTGTGGAGTCTTGTTATACGTGAAAGATTGATCTTCATCAGAGTCAATGCCCGACAACAGCGATTCAGAGTTGCTTTGTGAAGAGTAATTAGCGGCAAGATTAACACCATTTGTAGAGTCCAGTAACTCTGTATCTTCCCTTTGGAGAATAGAGTAGAAGGTGGAGGGTTGATCTCTATTTCCCAGACCAAGGGCTTCTAGGAATCCAATGTGTATTTTTCCCACATTTGGAAACTCATACCAGGAATAATCAAAATCAGTACACCAATCATCCGCATCAAAAGGTTCAGTACCCCTAAAGCTGATTAATATCAAATTAGCATCTTTGGCTTTGTCGCATAGAATGAAAACTTGAGTGGACATCTGTTTCTGGAAATCTATCAAACAATGAAGGCGATAAGTATTTGTGGAAATCTATGAAACAATGAAAGCGATAAGTATTTGTGGAAATCTATGAAACAATGAAGGCGATAACAAAAGTTGAATTAAAGAATTATAGCTTAACCATTCCAGCAGTCATAGAAATGGACAAAGTGCATGTTCCAACGGGTGGTGACGATGTTTTGGATGAACTTGGGGTTCTCATATGCTAACTTGGAAGACATAATGCAGAGATCCATTAAAGCACGGTTGCCTAATTGTGGTTGGAAGTCTCCCTGGGTGATAAATTTGAGATCAACCCTACGATCTAAGTGACCAATTGTACTCATAAAAGTTTGTGAACCCCTGAGAGGAATCACGAGTTTTCCTGTTAAAAAATGCAATGCATGGTTAGTTGAATCTCAAGTCAAATCTGTATTGACCGTATGAATGGAATGGAATGCAATGCAAGTTATGAAGTAGAGCATATATACCGCGCGTTAAGTTGAGAAGCAGACCAAAGAAGTAACCGTTGAGGGAAAGGAGATTGAGGAAAAACTCAAGAAAACGGCCGGTCCAGTCCATAGGCTTGGCAATGAAAGTGATGAATTTGCGAATAAAAATGGAAACGAAGATGACCCATCTGTGATCGACGAATGATGTGATTTGAGAGTGGCCGAGAAAGCGGGTAAAGTCGGCGCCGAAGAGAGCATTGGTGAATAAGTCCATAATACCTCCGTTTTCAGGACGGAGAATGAGATAGCGGGGGTGGGAGTCCATGCAATGATAAACAAAGGATGCGTTGCGTGTGTGATGAAGATGGATTGGAAGAGAAGAGATTCAGCAGAGGGTGGCAAGGATACCAATATACGCGTTCATTCCTAGATATATTATATATAGATACAAAGGTTACGCGTTCTTTCTTACTTAGCTTCCATCACACTCTCTCACTATATACGTGCATTTGCTTTTCCTTTTCCTTTTCCTCGAAATTCCACTTTTCTTTTCTTATTACATCATTTTTCACAACTAAATTTATAACGGACTTTCTCGCCTATTTTATTATTATTTTATTTTAGTCTTTTTAAAATATTTATTTTTTGTCCTTCTATTAAATATTTTTTATTTTTTCTTCTTCTTAAATTTGTATCATTGACATTTCATTTTATGATGTGATATTTACTTGCAATCAGACAATTTTATCATGTTATTTATTAAATTAATTAAAAAAATAAAATATTATTATTTATTATTTTTAATTTTAAAATTTTATTTATATTATTATTATATATTATTTATAGAAATTTTGGAATTAATAAAGATAATGATATATTTGTAAAAGGCTCGTACGGGGTGGCACAAGTGTCTGTCCACAATAGGCGTCCGCCTAAGGGTATATGTCGCTGGAACATTGATAATGATGGGCGAGGAAACATTGATAATGATATGTATCTTATTCATAACTGCACGTATAAGCAGTCATTGTCATAATTTCAAGTGGGCGGTTAACAAGTCTCGCGGTTAATGAGAGATTGTTGTTACTTCTCAGGAGTCCCTGAATCCAGACCCAAAAACCTCTATAAATACCCCTGATCTTATGGTTAAGAAGGACAATCTGATATATAAAAAAAATACCCCAAAAAGAGAGTTTATCACCCTGGTGAGCTTGCTCTCACACCTAGAATCCTTAAAGTATTTGAAAACCCCTATGCATTTGTAGTTTTTTAGCAAGTACAATTGCGCCACCGTGAAGCACCTGTAAAACTGAAATGAGACACCTTTCATTATCACCACTAAAGTATCCACTCCTAGTGTTAATCATTACCAAAGTCTTCATTTCTAAGAGGGCACAATCTCCCATACAGGAGATATTGGAGATAGTTGTGATTTTAATGACATGTCAGATATGTGCGCCAACATGGATGAGTTGTGTCGTCAAAAACTAGTTATCACAGATATAAAAATGCAAACGATTGTAATGCATGATTAGTTGAATGCGGAGTCAAATTCCTATTGACCATATGAATGCAATGCTTACCATGGGTTAAGTTGTGAAGCACACCAAAGAAGTAACCGTTGAGGGAGAGGAGATTGAGTAAAAACTCAAGAAAATGGTCAGTCAAATCCATAGACTTGGCAAGGAAAGTGATGAATTTGCAAAAAAATAGAAACGAAGATGACCTATCTCTGATCAGGAGTGAGGTGGGAGTGGGACCCACAAATGAAGGTATGAATGTGATTTTAAAATGTTCGAGAAAGCGGTTAAAGTCACCGCCAGAGAGAGCATTGGTGAATAGGTTCATGAAACTACCGTTTTCAGGACGAAGAATGAGATATCGCGGGTATGAGTCCATGCAATGATGAAGATGAAGTCTATACGATACGTTGTGTATTGTGATGATGAATTGGAAGAGAATAGAGCATATAAATTCAGGTGGGGTGGCAAGCAAAGCAATATACGCGTTAGTTCCTAGATATATACTAGAAGACAAAGGTTACACTTTCATTACACTCTTTTGCTCTCTATATTAAGCACATGCATTTGCTTTTTCTTTTCCTTCTCCTTTTCAAATGGATTTTGCTTTCCTATTTTATTTTATTTTTAGTCTTTTAAAAAAATATTTTTTTTTGTCTTTTCTATTTAGATATTTAAGATTTTTTCTTTTTAAATTTGTATCTTGACATTTCAATTTATGACGAGGTACTTATTTTGCAATGACCATGTGATGTCACACAATTTTATCATGTCATTTAAAAATTAATTAATTAATATAATATTATTATTTATTAGATTTAAATTCTAAAATTTTATTTATATTATTATTATCTATTATTTATAGAAATTTCATAATTAATAAATGTACTGACATATTTGTAAAAGGCTCCAATAGAGTGACATAGGTGACGACCCACAATAGGCACCCGCCTATGAAAATATCGCTTAAACGTGACTTCCCCCCACCCATGGCTCGCCCAAGTAGAGAACATGTATAATGACATGTATGTTATTCATAATTGTATGTATAAACAACCATTGCCACAATGCCTAAGAAGTAGGCAGTCAACAATTCTCTTTATCAAGAAGAGATAATTGTTACTTCTCAAGAGCCCCTGAGTTCAGACTCATAAGCCTTTATAAATACCACCAACCTTAGGGTTAAGAAGGATAATTTGATACACATATAAAAAAAACTCCAAAAACAGAGCTTCTCACCCTCATGAGCTTGCTCTCACCCATATAGAATCCTTAAAAGCACCTAACAACTCCTATCAACCTAGAATTTATATGCACATGTACTTTTTTACCAATTACAATGGCGTCCATCATGGAGCACCAGTAAAACTAACATGGAGAATACCTTTCATTATCACCACCATTTTAAAACTAACCAAAGTATTCACTCATAGTTTTAATAATCACCAAAGTCTTCATCACACACATGGTAAGAAAACCATAAAGTGTTTTTATTTAGTATTCATGTTTTTCAACTAGACTTTTGATCTTAGTAGATGCAGTTGCCTTTTACCGTCCTTTTATTTCCGCTTTACTTTCAAATTTGTCATCAGTTAACCAACTTAGTGTGTGAATCTAAAATATGTCTGATTGGATACATAAACTACTTGAGAATTACTACAATAAAGGAATTCATAGACTATAGCATAGTGGGTATTTAAATTGATATCAAAATTTTGAAGCTTTTAGGTGTTCGGACAATACAAGTTTCGTTAAAAGTTTTCCGACTTCCTTAACCTTAGCCTTCTCGTGTTTGTATTCAACATACTTTCCTAACGCGCCATCACACAATATTTTCAACAAAAAAAACTAATTTCACAATAGGATGGTACACAAGCATAAATTACACGCATAAAGATTTGGCATCAGATGCATAGGTCTCAAAAATAATATTAGTAGAAATCAAATAAATCCTAACTAGAAAGAAAGAAAATCCTAAACTAGAAATCAAGTAAATATAAGTAAAAAGAAGATAAATCTAAAGTAAATAAATAGGAAAATCCTCTCCCACACTTAAAACTCAAATTATCCGCAATGTAAAGAGATAAAAAGACGATAATGAAGGATAATACTTATAGCAAGATCAATCCCCGTCAGAGCATAAGTGTGGGCGCATGTCAGTCTTCTGCTAAATTCATAAGTATATCTCTTGAATCTTTTGGTTTTGTAGGTTTATCATATAATCACGCTCTACTTTTCGGTCATTATGTGCTTGCATCTCATGTCACAAGTTGACAACCTCATGGCGTAAAGCGTTGAGCTCATACTCAATGTCGCTATTAAACCTGTATGAATGACCTACAGGATAATCATAATGCATATATGGGGGAGGGGTGGTGTGTGGGGACATATGAGGATAGTAATGGGAAGGTGATAGATGGGGTAGAGAGATTCGCTCTCTCTAGTCCATCTCCACATCAGTTTCCTCAGCGTCCTCATCAACATCAGCTCTTAAGCCTAAGGATAAGGTTATAGAGATAATGATCCACCCATTCCCAATGCACCATCTTTGCACGCGAGCCACTTTTCCATATGGGAGAGCATGAATGTTGATGTATGGACCTCGCAAAGCTAAAATTCACATTAAGTAAAATATAATTATTTTCATGTTCACATTTTGTGTGTCATCTCCTGGGCCAAAAATAGTGTGCTCTAAGAATTTCTGAAAGTAGCGGATGATCGAGTTATGAATTTGTTCAGTCGCTGCCAGAGTAAGCTGAATTCAATCATCCTAAGTCCCTATGTGGGAACCCCATCAGCGGAGTTATGACTAGTGACTAGTATGGAAATGCAGTCGATCACTGTTGTACCCTAAAATTTTCCCTCCCATATTTCTCAAGACATTGCAAGAAAAATCTCCAAGGTGCTCAAGTTTGCTCAAGAATTGGTCAGACAAGCTATCTCCTAAGGCAGTTAACCCCAAATTAGGGTTTTATGTTGCATCAAGATCCTTGAATGCAAATGACCTCAAGTACTCCCCAATGTCCTAATATGCTCTCAAGGTCATCCATGTCAAGTTTCAAGCCTTGCAGAGGAAGTTTGCTCAGTCAATTGCTCAAAGGGCCCAAAAATCGACGTGTTAGGGCAAAAGTCAATTGTGACCCAAATACAATCAAACTTCAATATTTTTTGACAACATTCTCATTTTGAATGATATTTCATCATTTGATCAAGGGTTGATCATGATTCATCAAGGATTGCTCAAAATTCATCAAGACTCAAAAGTTGCTAAATTAGGGTTTTGTAGGAAAAGTCAACTCAACTTGGACCAAGCATAACTTTCTCATACTTTATGAGAAATGACCCATCAAAAGCTCATTTTGAAGAGGATGAAATTTCCCACAATCCATATTCATACCCCAAGATCAAAAAATGCACTCATAAGAAGTTATAAATTTGGACATTATAGGTCATTTTTGAAAGTCAACAAAAACACCTTTTTTGCAAAAGCTTATAACTTGAGAATGGAATATCAAAATGATATGAGATCAAAATGGTTGGTTAGAGGACATATCAATCTTTCTAAAAAGTCCAATAACACCTCCAAAAGTTCAAAATTGAAGAAGTTATGCATTGTTGAAGTTGGACATTTTTGCAAAATTGCCAAAAGTCAACTATCCCCAAAACTTCAAATTTTGTCAAATGGGCCCATTCTTTTCCACTTGATTTGAGCTTGCATAGTTGCCCACGTGTCCTAGCTTCAGCCATGAGCCCATATTTTATTTTTATTATTTAATTTTATTTTTATTTGAATTTATTCATTTTA